GCGGGCGGGGGGGGGGGGGGGGGGGCGGGGCTGAGCGCGCCGGGGGGGAGGGTCCTGAGCCCCGAGAGGGTCGGGCCCCGCAGGCGCCCCGCCCCGGAGTTCTTAGCACCCGCGGGATCCGCTGCCAGCGTCGGAGCCTGGGGAACAGGGTCTGTCCCAAGCCACCTCGGCTTGGGTGAAGGAGTGAAGGGAGCCGGGGGGTGGGCCAGAAAGGCTCGCATTTCATTGGAATGTTTCAACAGAAAGGTCCTGCCTCATAATCCGCTTTATGCATGAACCTCAAACAAACCCCATTTTTGAAATGACCTTAAAACTTAAAGGCTGTATACTTGCAAATGCAATAAATGTTTATCAACGACTTCCTATGTGCTACGGGCTAGGAAAATGCTGATAAACTGGATTTTTTTTTCAATAGTTGAAGCTATGATGGGGAAAAACGTCTATCTACACTGTTGATAACATCTGCTAATGCTTGTAAATAAATTTACTAACCATCCTCCAAACCAAGGATTCCCAGCCTTAACTGCACATATGAATCCACCTGTGTAGATTTAAAAAAATCCCAATGCCCGGCTGCACTCTAGACAAATCAAATCGGAATCTCTTAAAGTTGCGATCTATTAGTATTTTTCAAAGCTCCCCTGGTAATCCCATTGCGCAGCCTGGTTGAGAACTACTGTGCCAAATGATCTAGAGAGGAAGACGGGCTAGAGGTTATATCCTCACTGTACCGATGTGGAAACACTGAGGGTCTAGCCAGATGATCTTATTTGTAAGTGACTTAGATAGGAACTTAGATAGGAACTCCCGTTTTATAACTCCTGATCTAGGGCTTTCCCCCACCAAACCCTATTCCCTGATGCTTTATGATTTTCCTTAACAACTCGCTGAGCAGTGCCTTTCACCTGAACAGGGACCAGCTCTGTAAAAAGAGAATCTCTTTTCTCTCTCACCTACACACTATGCTATGTGTAGTGGCTTACAAAAGGGACTGGCCCCCTTCAGGCACTCAGTAAAAGTTAGCTCCCTGGGCTTCCCTGGTGGTGCAGTGGTTAAGAATCTGCCTGCCAATGCAGGGGACATGGGTTCGAGCCCTGGTCCGGAAAGATCCCACATGCTGCGGAGCAACTAAGTCCGTGCACCCCAACTACTGAGCCTGCTCTCTAGAGCCCATGAGCCACAACTACTGAGCCTACGTGCTACAACTACTGAAGCCCATGTGCCTAGAGCCTCTGCTCCACAAGAGAAGCCCCCGTAATGAGAAGCCCGCGCACCACAACGAAGAATAGGCCCTGATCTCTGCAACTAGAGAAAACCCGTGCGCAGCAATGAAGACCCAATGCAGCCAAAAATAAATAAATTAATTTAAAAAAAGTTAGCTCCCTTATCTCTTGTCCTCACTGTCTCATCAGAACAAGTATTTTTGGGCATCAGTATTTTTAGCTTTTATGAATACTTGACTAAAATATACATTGATATAAGTTGCTTTAGGAATTCCAGAGCCAAAAATTAATAATTAAAAAAAAAACGACTTCACTATCATAAGAGATCATGAGAAAAAATTATAAGAGAAAGTAGAATTATAAAAGAGACTACAATTAGGAAGAACTCACTTTACTACTCAGCATATGCTAGAATCAAGAAGAAATAAGTCTTTGTTTTATATAAAATTTCAGACTTCTTTTCCTTTGGGGAAGTTTGGCAATTTTCAAAATACTAGTAATGAAATAATCTAAACTATAAATTCTATGTCTACAACCAGAATCCTTCTTTTGTTAGTTGATCCTTCCATAAAACAAAGTTGTTGCCAAGGCACTGAGGGACTGGAAATATTGCAAACTCATGCCAGAAATAGATATCTAAATTAAGAAGGAACTAGTTGGCAAGTGAAGAGTTAATGAAAGGTCTGGGCTTCGGAGTCCAGTGCATCATCTTCATCCATCTCTAGGAAGGAAAAATTTTGAAAGATTTATTCAGGCTATGTCAGCAGGCACCCAAATGGCGGTGTAAGAAAAAATGTGCTGATACACCCCAAAATAAATTGCTTTAAATATCTGGCAATCTTGCCAGTTTGAAACTTCTTCCAGGCTGTAATTTATTACAGCCTCCTGCAGTGATTTAAAAAAAAAACCATAAAACCAAAAAACCATAGCAGGCTGTTTGGAACAGCACTGTTAAGGTGATTCCAGTTCCTTTCATGACACAGCAGTGATAGGATTTTATTGAAGTCAACACTTAAATGACGCCACTTAGGAAAAGATGATGTCATGGTAATCATTTGTATCTGCTGGAAAAAGAACTCAGCAGGGAATGTATCTTACTCAATGCAACACTTAATATCTCTGGCATTTAAAAACGCCAGAGATAAAGATTTCATAAATATGTATACTTGTCTTTTATAAATAGGTTCGTATAGTGACACCCCATAAGTGCATAGTCCTTTGTTTCTCCTCAAAAGACTTCTGTCAGTGCCCGTTCAACAAAAGGAGACTATTTTAACACCCCCATTGAGGCCTTTCCAAAAGCTTTTCAAAGTTAAATTCTCATTTTGAACTGTAATATAGAAAATTGGGAAAGTGCTAGAACATGCTTCTTGGTTTTTAAGGAAAAAAAAAAATCATCCCTGCAGACTGAGGTACCTTTAAGGAAATAGTTCTTTCTACTACTGTTTCAAAAGTTGAACAAATTCCGTTTCTTTTCACAATCTGCAGAGTGTCAAAATGTCAATCAATTTAGTTTCAGCTCAATTTAATCCTTTACCCTCCAGTGTCAGGAAACAAGGCTCTAGGGAGCAAGTTCTCTGTACCCAAGCATCTGGGAATTCAAAAATGATTCCAAATTAAATTGAGCAGCATGAAATAAACTAAGCTAGTTTTCTACTCCACATGAAGTCAGAAGGGGCTTTCTCTAAAAAAAAAATCTGCCCAAAGGCCCTGAAGAAAAATCACTGCATTTCTTTATACTGTTGCTTGAATTTAGTAGACTTGAAATGAATTTTGTCATGTCATTTGCTGACTATTTCAAGGGTCAGAAATATGAATATTCTAAAATGTTAATTTGGCTCTTGACAGCATTAGCTATGACCAAATTAAATTTTTTGTAGACTCATATATTAATAGCATTGAAAAATTTTAAAGTAATAGATGTCTCTTGTATCTATAAGATACTTCCATTACTATGTTTCCATGTGTCCCTCCATAAGGTATAAACACTGTAAAACTGTATAAAACCAGAGACTTGCATACTGACCTAACTGTACTCCAGGACAGGTCCAAAGGTGAAATGTGAAGAATGTGAACATGCTTTTGTTGCTGTAACAAAATTTCAACATGGGTGGATCACTTGAATTGACAATAGCTAATGAGCGAAAAGGTGACAATGTTATAGTACCAAAAACTGCAGGCTAGAAACCAGAGGACCTAAATTTAGTTCTAACACAGTCATTTAATAATCTAAGATTTTGGCCAAGTCACTTAACTTCATCTGTAAAGTAGGATAATAAAACCCTAAGGAAATATCCCAAGATCTGTTTTTGGGAGAGTCGGGAACCCTAGGAAAGAAATTTCATCTAATCTGGAGATCCTGAAAAATGGATTTAATCCACTTAATGCAGTCATTTAGTTCAAAGCAGTACAGCCCAACAGTTAAAAACTCTGGCTGGACTTCCCTGGTGGCACAGTGGTTAAGAATCCGCCTGCCAATGCAGGGGACACAGATTCGATCCCTGGTCCGGGAAGACTCCACATGTTGTGGAGCAACTAAGCCCATGCGCCACAACTACTGAACCTGCACAGGCTCTAGAGCCCATGAGCCACAACTACTGAAGCCCGTGCGCCTACAGAGCCCATACTCCGCAACAAGAGAAGCTGCCACAGTGAGAAGCCCACGTACCTCAAAGAAGAGTAGCCCCTGCTCACTGCTGCTAGAGAAAGCCTGCACGCAGCAACAAAGAGCCAGCGCAGCCAAAAATAAATATTAATTAATTAATTAATTTAAAAAAGAACTTTAAAAATAATTTTTTTTAAGTTTATTAAAAAAACCAACGAACTCTGGCCTTGGAATTAATCGGCTGAGTTTGAATCCTAGTGCCACCAATAGCTATGAACTTTAAATAGCTACTTAATCTAGGGCTCAGTATTAGTACCTAATTTATGAAGTTATTGGGAGGATTAATTAAATTAACACATATAAAGCACTGAAAAAAATGTCTGGCACAAAAATCTACTTTTTGGCCTTAATGGCTCTGTAAGCTTAAGAGAGCTAAGGGAAAGGTTGAGGAGATTGCCCTTCAGGAATAAAATCAGAGAGTTGGAGCGTTCAATGAAGAATCTTAGATCAGAGTGCAGGACTATGATAAATTTTTACATTTTTATTAAAATGTTTCTGCTTTTCTAACTCTTCCATGTATCTTACCCTTTGAGTGCTTCTCTAAGATAAAGGACCTATGTACTTTTCTTTAGGTTGTTCAGAAAGCGTGTGTGTGCGTGGGGGGGGGGGGGGACTCCGAAGTCAGTCTGGCAACCTTCAGGTAAAGTCCACTGTGCATTTTAGTTTATTCACTGAGAAAATGAAAATGTTGGACTAGAGATAATCCTCTATACTCTTTTCCACCAACCTGAAAAACAGCTAAAGTGGGCAACATTAAAATGGCAATGAATCTGATATCAGAAAGTTCTAGACTCTAGCTACTTTGTCCACAGGCAAAACTTACT